CGTCATTTAAAAATCTTGAAATGGGGAGATTCTTCTGTATTATTCCAGGGAGCCCAATGTAATCACCAGAATCCTCGTAAGATAGAGGCAAGAGGGCCAAAGTCATAGATGACGTGGCAGCAGCAGCAGAGGAGAGGGTGGTGCAATGATGGAGGCGGGGGTCGGGGTCAGAGGAAGAAATCTAAAGATGATACACTCCTGGCCTTGAAAATGGACGGATGCACAAGCCAGCGAATGCAGGCAGCCTCTAGAAGCTGGGAAAGACAAGGAAGCTGATGTCTCCAGAGCCTCCGGAAGGAATGTACTCCTGCTGACACTTTGATTTTAGGACTTCTGGCAGTTATAGCTGTGAGACAATAAATTTATGTTGTTGAAAGACATTAAATATATGGTCTTTGGTTACAGGAGCAGTAAAGACCACTGCACTTCCCTCCATTTTTTTTTTTTTTTTTTTGAGATGTAGTCTCGCTCTGTCACCCAGGCTGAAGTACAGTGGTGCAATCTTGGCTCACTGCAGCCTCTGCCTCCCAGGTTCAAGCAATTCTCCCGCCTCAGCCTCTCAAGTAGCTGGGATTGCAGGTGCCTGCAGCATCGCCCAGCTAACTTTTGTATTTTTAGTAGAGATGGGTTTTTGCCATGTTGGCCAGGCTGGTCTCAAACTCCTGACCTGAGATGATCCACATGCCTCGGCCTCCCAGAATGCTGGGATTACACATGTGAGCCACCGTGCCAGGCCTATCAGACGCGTTTTGACACCCCAGATTGATGCTGTGCGTCTCTTACCTGCCCTGTCAGACTCTCGATCTAATATCCTCTTGCCCTACCGTCTGGGAAGTTACTTTGACTGACTTTGCTACCCTCCTTCTGATTTGTTTTTAATTTTCACCATTACATTGTTAATGTCTCTAAACTTCTGATCCCTGATTTGTCCTTTCTCTCGTTTCCTGTTCTTGTTTTGTGGATGCAGTATCTCCTCAAACATCTCTGAAATGCTAATTACAACTTTTTTATTCTATTCATTGCCTTTAGCATCTATTGCTTCCAGGGACAACTGTCACTCTTGTTCGTCTTGGTCCTTCTGTCTTGTGACTGTTTTCCTTGGTTGCCTGTTATGTACACAGATGAAAGATACGACTGATGCATACAGACAGCTGCCAAGGGTTCCCTTTGTGGTTCCGGGTCTGTTTACTCAGCAGGCCTCTCCCCTTCCTGGGAAGGCTGGCTTGATGTCTGCTTGGCAGGGTGAGTCATACCTGGCAGCCCTCACCATAGGGCACCCAGCTTCCTCATTTATATAAAAGAACCAAACAAATGAAGGCTTTACTCCAGCAGATACTGACCCTCGTCCTAAGTTCACTTCAACTTCCTAGCGAGATGTTTTAGTCAGTTCTGGATGTTCTAACAGAATCACACAGACTGGGTGGGTTATAAACAACAGAAATTTGTTCCCCACAGTTCCAGAAACTAAGTCTAAAATTAAGGGGCCAGCAGATTTGGTGTCTGGTGAGGGCCTACTTCCTGGTTTGTAGACAGCAGTCTTCTTGCTGTGGCCTCCAGGCAGAAGAGGAGAGGGAGCGCTCCAGGGTCCTGTTTGCTAAGGGCACTAATCCCACTCATGAGGACTCTGCTCTCAGGACCTAGTCACCTCCCATAGGTTCCTTCTAACGCCATCACCTTGGGGTTAGGTTTCAACGTATGAGTTTTGGGGGGACATGGTTCCATCTACAGCATAAGCATATTGTTGGTTCTATCCTAGATAGAAAACAGCACTGCTGGCCTCTTTTGAGGGATGGTGGAGCCTGGGATTAGAGCAAAGAGCTCACCTCGCTGTTCTATGCACAGTCTCTCCATCCATACCCCCTGAGTGAAGTCCCTAGCTTCCCTCTCTTCTCAAACTGTGGACCCTGAGCTTGCAGCCTTTCCAGATGGTAGAGGTGCCCTTCTACCCAAGCCCCCTCCTCCCTGCCACATACAGTCCCTCCTGCGCACTTACTGGGCTCCAGTGCCCTCTGCTTTGGTATATAAATCAACATGATCATGCCTGCTTTTTATTTTCTGAAAGTCCGTGAAATCCACGGGCCCACTGATACTCGCCTGTGCCCCTCTCCTCAGCTCTGCTTGGGTTATGCTCCTAGGCCACGCTCAGGCAGTTTGGAAGGAGAGGAAAGCAAACAGGGCGTTCATTCTGCTCTGTGGGTGCCTCTGCTGATGCTCTCAGTTACCACTGCACTTGTGGTAACACGCCAGTGTGTAGGAGTCCTCTCCCTGACAAGGATGGAGCCATCCCACAGATGAACCACCCTAGCGCAGCCGGCGCTCCAGACCAGGATCGCTTAGAACCACTGGCTAGCCTTTTTCATGAGAAACATAATTGGCTGTAAACTGTCTGAGAGTGGTGAGTCAGGATTATCTCTAGCTATGGGTTTAAAGAAACCCTAACACAATAGGAGCTTAAGCAAGAAAGCAGTTTACTCAGTGTGGGAGGCGAGAAGTCCAGGTCTGTTACAGAGCTACACTGTGATGAGGACTCAGGCTCCATCTGTCCTGTGCTCACTGCCCTTGTGTAGCTTTAAATATCCTTATATGACTTCCATTCCCAAGATGAACCTGTGGTCCAATGTGATTGCTGAAGCTCCTGCCATCGTGTCCACACTTCAGCCAGCAGGAAGAGAAAGGAGGAGGAAAGGCTCATCCACTCATTTACAAGTTACTTCCTGGGGTAGAAGTTGTTCGTGACACTATTGCACACCCCATCCACCAGAATTGGTCCAGAGAGCCACATGCCAAGCTAAAAATTGAGGTCTTTGTTATTAAAGATGGAACATGTCTGGTGGGGCCTCTAAAGGAGCCTATCTCCTTTGGGATTTTACTCCCCCATCTAGAGACAAGAATTCAGGAGTCATGATTCATCGATTATTTGCCAGGCACCCAGTTTCACTGCAGCCTTTGACTTGAAATGTATTGATTAGAGTTACCCAAACTGGAGCAAAAGATCTTGCCCCAAATTGCTTCGCCAGTAGAAAAGACAGTAAAAGCAGCAGCGGAATCAGCAGACATATCTGTACTCAAACATTTTGGAGATCGAGATAGACTAATAGTTTGAATGGCAATCGAGCCGTAGAGAGAGAGCAAATCGAAAGCAGCTTGTGTTCCCCAGGCCTGAGCTAGCATGCCTTTCCTGGCGTCCATTTTTCCTGCTGGGCCCCAAGGGACCTGGCCCTGTGCGTCAGCTCTGCGGCTGCAAGGGATGCTAGTGAGGCTGCTTACGAAAGAAGAAAACAGTTCACGAGTCCCATTGCCCGTCCCTCCAAGGCAAACACTTTTCAAAGTATTTTTTCCCACATTTTAGCATTTCGTATTCTGATAAGGCCCACATCCCAGGGGAAGGAGGACCTTCTCCGACAGAACCAAGTCTAGACTAATGAGCCGCAGAACTAAGTGTCTGGAGATAAGTGAGAACACCGAGCCTGCCTCCCCACACTCCACCTGGGGCTCTGTGCAGCAGCTGCTGCTGGAGATGGCTCCTTTGCTCATGGCGGTGGGACAGCGTGCAGCCCTGGGTGCCACCAACAGCCAGATGGGACCGGAGCACAAGGCCCTGCCCCAGAGCGGGGACATCTAGGCTCAGTGTCTTCTCCACATGAAGCCATCACATGTTTCCTAAACGGAACTGTCCCTCTGGGCCTTTGTCACCCGGGACCACTGGGAAACCTCCACCCAGCCTCAGCTCCATGGCATCTGAGGTGCCCCAAGCACACTGCTTTCATCCCTCACCCCTAGAGGTGCCCATGTGGGGCAGGTCCCCAGCTGAGAGCTCCTTCCAATCTCCCCTCCTCATCTAAACCCCGTCCAGGGGCACATCTCCTCCCAGAGCGATCTCCCTCCAGGAAGGCCATGGACCCTCCCAGGGTCAAGAAACAAAGGAGCAGCAGAGCCTGGAGCTGAACCTGCATCTGCGGCTCCCAGGCCTGGCCCTCACGGCCCCTCTTTGGCCCCCTCAACAGCCTCACTCAGAGGTTGTGTCCCGGGCATGTGGCGTCTCCCCGACTGGGGTGGACATTGGTGCTGCCCACCCAGACTCACTTCTCCTCAGGCACGTTCTGCATTCTGCAGTGGAGGGCAGCAGGATCTGCCTCCCAACGTGCTCTTCTGACACGGACACTCTGGCAATTCTGCTGAGAGGTGGGGCTGGCTTCCTTCCTCTTCACTCCCAGCAGGCATGCATGCCGCTCGGGGTAAGTGATGCTCTGTAGCTTCTGAGGCTGGGTTACGAATGGAGACAGTGTCTGCTACTTCTTTTGGGACTGCCCTTGGAGACTGTCATGCTGTGAGGAATCCCAAGAGGGCCGTGCAGCCAGGGGAAAGCTAGAGGCCCTGGAGCTAGACTTCTGAGTTCAGGTCCCGGCACAGGCTGGCCTTGGGCAAGTCCTGCATCTCAGAGCCTCAGTTTCCCCATTTGTAAAATGGGCATAATATAGTCTTTGCCTCTGAGTGTTATTAGGAGGATCAAATTCCCACAGGAAGGGCCCAGCCCAGCCTCACACACCAGGTGGCCCCCACTCAGTGCTGCTTCCTGCTCTTGGCACAGGCTCGCACCCCAAGTACAGGCCCTGTATCCACAGGGCAGGATGCAAGCCTCAGGCACGTCTTTGACCCCTGCCCACCTCAGAGCAGGCTGCCCATCACCTGCTTCACCCCTACCCGTGCCATGCCCTGACTGGGGCCAGCCGGACTGTCACCCAGGTGACAAGTGGGCCCAAGGGACCCTAGGCAGGTGGGCAAGGTTTTTTTTTTCCTCTCTTTGTGAAGAGAGGAAAACCTTGCAGCCTAGAAGATTTTGTCTCTGCCAGGCACGGTGGCTCACACCTGTAATCCCAGCACTTTGAGAGACTGAGGCAGGTGGATTACCTGAGGTCAGGAGTTCGAGACCAGTCTGGGCAACATGGAGAAACCCCATCTCTACTAAAAATACAAAGTTAGCCGGGTGTGGTGGTACATACCTGTAATCCCAGCTACTTGGGAGGCTAAGGCAGGAGAATCACTCGAACCTGGGAGGCAGAGGTTGCAGTGAGCCAAGATTGCTCCATTGCACTCCAGCCTGGGCAGCAAAAACAAAACTGTTTAAAAAAAAAGAGATTTTCTTTCTTCATCTATCCACAGGACACATTGCAGCACCTGCCTCAAACGTCACCTGGTGACATCAAAGGTGATGGCAAATGAGATGCTTCCAGGTGCTCAAACCCAAATCTCGGGGTCAGCTCATCTTGCCCCCCTCCCACATGTCACAGCCATCGCATCCAGCCAGCCAGCCCTTCACAGGGCTGCACCCTGCATCCCCAGCACAATCAACTCTGGTCTGGGGCATTATCCCTGCTCTCCTGGATCTGCCAAGGGCTCTCCACTTCCCTGCAGGGCACCTCACCCCCAGCTCTGGCCTCCCTGCTCTGCTCCAGCCCCCTGTCTCATGCTGTCCCAGCTCTGGGACCTGCTGCCTCCAGCTCTGGACCTGGGATTTGAGTTTTCCCTGCCCAGGGCACATTTCATAAGGCTTGCTGGCTCACTTTTTAAGGCCTTTATTGAAATGTCTTCCACTCACAGAGACCTCCCTGAGCAGTCTAATTAAACTGTAAACCACTCCTTCCATTTGGGGTCCCCTGCTGTCCATCACAATTTTCTGTTTTGTGGCTGCCACCTGACACAATGCTCAGGATGGTTTCTGTACCTCCCCAGTTAAAACACAAGCATGAACATGAGGGCAGGGCTTTGCTGTCATGTCTCACTGCTTTGGCTCCCTGGATTCCCACCAGTAAATGGATTTGGGAATACCCTGTCCCCACTGATGAAGGCCAGGTGGAGGGAAAGCAGAGTCAGGGTGGAACAGGAGTAGGACTCGTCTCCTGGCAGGCTGTCGGGAACCCCATGGGGAAGCTGCAGTCCAGCTTGGTCTGAGAACATGTCTTATGGCCTCTGTGGGTCCAGGCAGTGCTGACAACAGCCTGGGGGTCTGAGTCACCCTCCCCAGTGGGAAGCCCCTGGGTGAAGAGCAGAAGTCAAGTTCAAAGGGGGCAGCTGAAGCTTTGAAGAGCCACTCAGCGAAGGGGCCCAAGAAAGCACAAGGTACCAAGGTATGAGCCCAGCGGAGAAGCCCCGGAGCCGAGAGCCAGGCTCTCAGCCCCTCCCTGTGGCCCGCCCTGGCAGATTGGGCAGGACAGGTACGCACATGCACAAAAAACCCCTAAGCCAGAGGACCCTCCCTGCCAGTGGCTGGTGTCCCTCTGCCCCACAGCAACCCCACCCTGGCACACATCCACCCAAGGTGAGCCAGCTCTGACTCTGAGGCCACACCCCTTGTCCTACACCCGGCCTTGGAACAGTGGTTATCACAGGTTTCAGCACCCTTGAACCTCATTTGGGAGTAAAGGGGGCAGGCTTAGGCCTGGACCTGGAGCAGTGGGTGCCAAGGAATCTGCAGGGCTGGCCTTATCCCCTGTGTGGGCAGGATGGCTCTGAGAAACCAAGGGCAGTGTGGTGGGTTGGCACAGCTGACTACAGAAAACTCAGGGATAGGCCAGGCATGGTGGCTCATGCCAGTAATCCCAGCACTTTGGGAGGCTGAGGCAGGCAGATCACCTGAGGTCGGGAGTTCAAGACCAGCATGGCCAACATGGAGAAACCCCATCTCTACTAAAAATACAAAAATTAGCCAGGCGTGGTGGTGAGCACCTAGAACCCCAGCTACTCAGGAGGCTGAGGGAGGAGGATTGCTTGACCCTGGGAGGCAGAGGTTGCAGTGAGCCAAGTGCCATTGAATTCCAGCCTCAGGGAGAAAACTCAAGGATACAATTCCCTGCCATGTGGGTCGCCTCTCATCTGCCCATAATGACCCCTTGTTTTCAGAGGGAGCTCAGCTCCTCTCAGAGGGTGATTACAACTTTGCCCAGTGGGGTTAGGGTTCTCTGCTCTGCTTCTCCATCTGGTGCTGACCTCCTCCAGGGCAGCCAGCACCTTCCTCTTCACTAAGGCAGGATGAGGGGCTCGCACTCTGCCAGGGACCCTCAGGATGCTTGGGCCAGGGTGACAGTGACACTAAGCTTCCCTGGGCATAGGCTCCAGGGAAACCTAGCAGATGGCACAGCCCCATCCAGAGGGGCAGATCAAAGGGAGCTGTGTGGGTGAGCACTAGCCGACAGCAGGGCTCCAGGGAAACCTAGCAGATGACACAGCCCCACCCAGAGGGGCGGATCAAAGGGAGCTGTGTGGGTGAGCACTGGCCGGCAGCAGGGCTTGCTCGGTGCTTCTGGGCCCAGCTGCGGGCTCATCCTGCCACAGGGTCCTGTGGCTGCTCTGCAGGGAGAGGGAGGATTGCACACTTTGTGGTTGACTCTTCCTGCTTCTCGGCTCCAATGGCCTTGGCCTCCTGCTTGAAGGAGAGCCTGGGGGCCTGCTCCAAAGTCAGACACTCCTGATGTGGTACTGTGCCTGGGGCCAAAGGTGGCTTGGAGGGACCTGGTGGTCACGTGGGCCTTGGAGCCCTGAGCTCAAGCCCTGGGATGGGAGGGGTTGCTCCTTCTCCATTGGGGTCCAGGAGGCAGTGGGCTCTTGCTCTGGGGGCCCCCTGGAGGCCATGCAGCAGCACCAAGCATGCCCCTGAAACAGGCACTGGCCAGAGCCTGGGTGCAGGCTGGGGGTTGGCTCCAAGGCCAAATCGGCTCACTCACTGCCCACAGCGTTCTGCTCCCAGCCACTGCACACAAAATGCCAGCAGGTGCCATGGTTTGGCGGCTTCTGCCACCACCCCCATGCCCCTTCTAAACTTACTTTCTTTTCCTTTTTTTTTTTTTTTTTTTTTTTTTTTATCACTAAGGACTAAGGCAATATCTCAAGCCCCTTCTAAACTTGACAGTGCTGCTGTGTCTGGTCGGTTGTGTCCTGGGGCAGCCCTGTCCCCTAACACCTGGGCTGTTTCCTTGCTGTGTTTGGCCATAGCGGTGCCTCTAAGGCCTGGGCTCCTTTCAACTAAAGGGTTGGGGAATCTCTGAACCACCACCAATTACGGCCCCGCCCGAACACGAGCACCTTGTGCTTTGTGATGGGAACGTGTCCCAGCAAAGGCCTTATCGAGAGATCAGGTAAATTACCAGGCAGCCTTCAGAGTCTGAGCTCGGCCAGGCCTAACAGGCCTCTTATTAAGCTAATTACCGGCTCCTGGGCCACTGAAACTGTGTAAAACCCAAGATAAACTACAGGTGGACTGGGAGAGCATCTGGGAGGTGGTGTTTTCCTGGAGAGGCCCTCAGGCTGAGCCCTGGGAGAGAAAGACAAAAGAATTCCTGGGGAGAGTGGATCGCCTCCTAAGACGGGAGAAGTCTGAAGACCCCACATCCAGCTCCTAACTCTGACCCCCTCCACGTCCTCATCTGTAAAGTTCATCCCTCTGACATTTACGACAAGTCAGGAGCTGCCGGCCACTGGATATGGTTGAAAATAACAATAATAATGTCATTTTATAGATGGGGAAACTGAGGCTCGGGGATGTTAAAGCTCATTCATTTTATAGATGGGGAAACTGAGGCTCGGGGATGTTAAAGAACTTGCTTACAGCTGCTGGAGCTGGAACTAAGAGGCAGCCCCGATCCTAAAGGGGAAACGGGCCCAGGAACCTCCCCGCGCCCCTCCCTCGAGGACAGACAACGCTGGCTGGCCACAGCCGCTACTGCCCCGAGGTGTCTGGGCCACTCGGCCTGCAGCCTTTGCAAGTGCGCGTCACTGAAGAGGAGAGGGCGCCACCGCTCCAGGCCTGAGAACGGCCGGCAGTGGGCGGGGTAGGCGGCTCTCAGGGCTTGCAATTACGCTCCGTCTGGTAATTATGCTGGCGCTGGGCGTGGCCTGAGCCGAGTGCGGGAAAGCCTGCCCACCCTGCCACGTGCGCCCCTGCCCTGCCTGGCACCACCCTGAGCCTGGACACCATTTCGGCCTCAGGCCTCAGGCTTGCCCCCAACCCCCCTTGCCCTTTTTTAGTCCGAGGAAATGACCCCTGGAACTGTCCCTGTGGCAAAGTCAAAGGAAAAACATGGACTGGAGGAGAGAGGTGCCTTCTGGGTGCAGGGCAGGGACAGGCACCAGCCCCTGTGCCACTTTTGAAACCACCACTGCAAAATTATAACCCAGACGATGAAAGAGACCTGACCTAACCAACTCCATCTTGCTTCTAACCTCCAAACTGTCCTGGTTCATTCCTGGGCCTAAGCCCAACTAACTTTGGGAGGAACTTGGCTTATAGTTTATAGTTTAAAACAAAGAGGGTAACAGCCTTTTTCCAAAGCAGACCTCCTTCTTGCCTAGGGACTAGGCTGCCTTTGTAGGACTAACAAATTAGCCAAAAGATTGGAAATTGTGAGCTGGGAGTGGTGGCTCACGCCTATAATCCTAGCACTTTGGGAGGCTGAGGGGCGCAGTTCATGAGGTCAGGGGTTCGAGACAGTCTGGCCCACATGGTGAGAACCCATCTTAACTAAAAATACAAAAAATTAGCCGGGTGTGGCGGTGTGTGCCTGTAATCCCAGCTACTCAGGAAGTTGAGGCAGGAGAATCACGTGAACCCGGGAGGCGGAGGTTGCAGTGAGCCGAGAGTGTGCCATTGCACTCCTGCCTGGGAGAGAGTGAGACTCCGTTTCAAAAAAAAAAAGATTAGAAGTTGTGGTTTAAGAGTCATGCAGCTGGAGACTACAGGATTCTGACTTTCCCCAAATTGCTTCTGGGGATAACATCACTATTGCAAAGCCTAAAATCCCTAAGACCTGTGCCTGAGACATTTTGCAGACCCTGCACTCAGTGGATCACCCAGCACCACCCAGATCAATAAACTGGCTCATCTGATCTTGTGGCCCCCACCCAGGAACTGACTCAGTGCAAGACAGCTTCGACACCCTATGTTTCAGCTCCAACCCAACCAATCAGCACTCCCAACTCACTGGCTGCCCGCCCCCCCCCCACCCCGACTTACCAAATTATCCTTTAAAACTCAAATTCCCCAGTGCTCAGGGAGACTAATTTGAGTAATAGTAAAACTCCGGTCTCCTGCACAGCTGGCTCTGAGTGAATTACTCTTTCTCTATTGCAGTTCCTGTCTTGATAAATCGGCTCTGCCCAGACAGCGGGCAAGGTGAACCCAGTGGGCAGTTACCTGTCTCCCCCAAACACAGCCCAAGGCTTTCATGGGAGACTCTTCCTGCCCTGCTAGTCTCCTCTCCAGCCCTACAGCCCCTGGCTCAGCTTGATCCCTCTGCATGGAAGTCCTGCCATACCCTGTCGCCTGGTCCCCCTCTTCTCTGAGCATCCCAAGCCACTCTCACAGCCCCCAGGCCCCAGGGCCCAGCACCTCACTCGGGCCTATGTGTTCCCCATGGGCTAGGAAGCCTGGAGAACAGGGATGGGGATTTCACCACATCCTCCAAAAAGCCCCGCCAGGCCAAGACAAGGCCAAAGGCAGGACAAGACAAGGGACATCTGCCTTGGGGGCCATCCCCTGAGTCATTCAGAAACTCTACTCTGTCCCCGAGGTCCCTGCAGCTCCCGTACCACCACCCCAGTCCAGGGGTATTAAAAGGAGAGGCCACATCAACTTCCAAATTGGACCCAACAGGCTTAACTAGACTTGCCCATCTCCTTTTGTTCTTTCCTTTGTTCATGAAATAGAATGAGCCGGGCATGGTGGCTCACGCCTATAATCCCAGCACTTTGGGAGGCCGAGGCAGGTGGATCACCTAAGGTCAGGAGTTCAAGACCAGCCTGACCAACATGGTAAAACCCTGTCTCTAAAAAAAAAAAAAAAAAAAAAAAAAAAAAGAATGAAGAGACGAGCCTTGTGTTTACAGCAGTGATTCTCAAAGTGTCACCGAGCCCAGCAGTGGCGGCAGTACCTGGGAACAGGCTGGAGTACCCAGGCCCACCGCAAACTCACTGAATCAGACATTCTGTTTAATAAAACCTCCAGAGAAGCCTGATGCCGGCTTCTCCACTGCAGTTCCTGTCTTGATCAATCAGCTCTGTCCAGGCAGCGGGCAAAGTGAAGCCATTGGGCTTCATGCAGTGTGCAGGCTCCTGGTCTGTAGTGTCCCTGTCTCACCCTCACACATGACCTCACCATTGCTTCCTTCAGACCAGGAGCTCAGGAGCTCTGGGGACCCAGGGCCTCTCTTATTCAGAGCCACTCCAGGGCCTCCCATCGGTTTCTTTCTTCTCTAAACCACACCCAGGCTGACCCCTGGAATTCCTAATCTGCCTGAATGTTGCCCTCACCAAAGGCAGTACCCAGGTGTGTGGGCAGCTTAGGGTCAGATCCCCTACTCGGCTCACAGACTAGAAGCCCGGGTCATATAGACAATTGCCTTTCGCCTTCTACCCAGGCTGGGGGTTACAGGTCTATCTCAGTGTCTTGTGTTCTTTCTTCAAAGGCACAGCCAAGTATCCGGGCAGGGACAGGATAGGGCGCTCTGCAATCTCTGTCTGCTGGAGACATTAGGAACAGAGAAGGTCACGTAGACATGGGGGTGGCTTCCACAGTAAGGTGCCCGGACCAGCACTCCAAGAAGCCACCATACCCTACCTAGGCACCCTGACTGCCCGTGGGAATGCAAAATAGTAGAGATGGAAAATACGGCAGTTCCTCAAAACTAAACATAATATTGCCACATGACCTAGGCGTATACCTGAGAGAAATGAAAACTTACGTCAAAATATAAAAAATAAAGGAGGAAAAAAGAAAACTTATGTCCACACAGAAACTTGTACATACATGTTCATGGTAGCAGCATTCATAGCAGCTAAGGAAAAGAAATAATCCAAACAGCCATCAGTGAATGAACGGACTTTAAAAAATAGTAGATCCACAGGACAGAGTATTATTAAGCCATAATAGGGAATAGGGGCTGGGCACAGTGGCTCACGTCTATAACCCCAGCACTTTGGGAGGCTGAGGCAGGTGAATGACTTGAGGTCAGGAGTTCAAGCCAGCCTGGCCAACATGGTGAAACCTGTCTCTACTAAAAATACAAAAATTCGCCAGGCCTGGTGGCGAGTCTGCAATCCGAGCTACTCGGGAGGCTGAGACAGGAGAATTGCTTGAACCCAGGAGGTTCAAGATTGCCCCGCTGCACTCCAGCCTGACTGACAGAGGGAGACTTAAAAAAAGAGTGGAGTACTAAAACATGCTACGACATGGATGAACCGCAAACATACATGCGAAATGAAACGAGACGGATCCAGAAAACCACATATTGTTTATGTTTATATGAGATATTCAGAAGAGGCACTTATCCAAGTAGATTAGTGCCTCCTAGGGCTGGGAAAATGGGAGAATATCAGGGTGCTAGCTAACAGGGACAGAGTTTCATTTTGAGATAATATCCTATAATTACTAATGGTTGCACATGTCTGTGAATATACTAAAATCCAATGGATTATTTACAGCAAATGGGTGAATTATATGATATGTGAATTATATCTCGAAAAAACGCACCCAGAGAAAGAAGTCTCTCACTTTCACCTCCATCCTCTCTGCCCATATCCATGGGGCTTCTTTTTGAAAAAATAAGCAAAGTTTATATATGTATACAATATACGCCCACACTCTTTAAAATACTCCCTACTTTTTTCTCAAGTAGTATTGTCTTCCATGTAGTGCTTAGTGTCTTCCTTTTTTTCCTTTAAAACAGCGCACCCCAGGGCTGTCAGCATCTCTGGAGAATGCACAGCGCTTCTCCATGGAGATGTTGGCCTCCTGGACCGCACCCCAGGACAACCTCGCCTACAAGTTGCTTCCTGTCTGTACAGGAGATCCCTGTGGGAGGCCCCTGGGATCCAAGGGCAAAGGCGGTCCAGGCTTGGCAGGTGGGGCTGCCTGTCCATTCACCTCTCCACCCACCATCCATCCAGCCACGCAGCGGGTCCTTGACTCTCCAGAGAGGCCTCCCTTTGTCTGCTTGTCTGTGAACCGGGCTGTGGTGGATACAGGCCCAGCAGTCAGAATGGTGCCTGCGCCACAGCGAACATGATCTCGGTGGGCACTCTCATCATCACCCCCCTCACCTGCAAGGCCAAAGCAGCGATGCCTGGCTGCGAAGCTCTGCCTTTGCTTCCTCTCTGGTCTTGGAGCGCCGAGGCAGCTGCAGCTACGACCCCAGAGCTCAGCGGGGTTGAGTCTCCAGATGCAGCGTGTAGGGGTTACTAGAGAAAATGGGAGGACCGAGGGTCAGGGTGCTGGGATGAGGCTGGATGGCCCGCACCTTGCCCTGGCACTGAGACACCCTGGCGGGTGGGTGCAACCCAGGTCTGCGGGGGACAGGGGGAGGGGCCTGGAGTGACGAGGTGGGTGCTCCTTAGTCGGGTTTAGGGAAGACCTCTCGGGGGAGTGCAGGGAGTGCGCAGCTCACCTCCGCATCTGGACCGGGAAGTGCAAAGACCGAAGGCCCGGCCCGTTGGCTGCTTACAGAACTCTGCAGGCAGCAGGGAGGCCCCGAAGACTCGGCAGGGTGAGGGCTGGCGGGAAGGTAGGGGCAGGGCGAGTCCTGGCAGAGCCGCAGGTGCCAGGTGGGGTGGGGTCAGGAGGCCGCTGGAGCGAGAGGGGAAGCCCGCTGTGGGTGCGCCTTGGACAGCGCCCGCGCGCCCGCCTGCAGGCTTGGAGGCTCTCCCAGGCTGCGGCCCGTCTCCGTCCAGGCGGGGCTGGCGGGGCTGCAGCCAGCGGAGCTGCACGGTCCTGAGAGGGGATGTGCTTTGCAGGGGGCGCCGCCAGAACTTGCTCCTTGCGCTCCCGGCGAAGCGGGCCTGGCTGGGGCGGGGCCGAGCACCTAGAGCGGTTCGCGACCCGCGCACGCAGCCGCCGAGACCTCGCGGAAGCGCCAGGGGCAATCCCGGAAATGGGCGTGTGCCCCGGGGGGGCTCCTGGCCCAGACCCGAGCTGACCCGTGTTTTGGGCCCGTGCAGGGGCCCCATTGTTAAAATACCGAGAGCTGACGCCACTGAATTTCCAGACCGTCACCCGAGTCACTGGGGCTCCTTCCTTCGAGCTATTTCCAGGGCCGCCCCCCAGCACAGGCCCGAGGGGTCAGGGAGGAAGAGCTGCGTCCCCCGGACACCCTGAAGGCCCCTTAAGGGGCGGGACGGTCGCGCGGGTGGAGGACCCAGGATGCGCGGTCAGGGACCTGAAGAGCCCAGGGGACCCAGCGAACAAGGACGCGGGTGGGGAGCGGGTGAGACGCGGGGAGTGCGGGCCTGGGCCGCGTCGGGAGGGGCGGGGCCTGGGCGGCTGCAGACTCAGCCCGCCCCGCCCCCGTGACCTCTGACCCGGCCCCTCCGCCCGCGGCCACGCGAGTGGCGTCGCCCGCGTCCCACTGAGGGGCGCTGTCCGCGTTACCTGAGCTCGCGCGAGGAGAAGAACCTTACGGTGACACAGTGCAAGGCACAGTGACGGTTCTCATCGAGTGTCACCGGGGCTCGCAGTGGGCACAGGGCGCCGCGAGGTGGAGACGACGTCCTTCCGCGGCCGCGGGGGCCTGGGGCGGGCCGGGGTCGGAGCAGGGGTGGAGACCGCGCCGCGGGGACGGCTGGCGGGCCTGGGCGCTGGCTTCGGAGGGAGTGAATGGCCCGGCCGGGCTCAGCGCCCGCCCCGCCGAGGGCTCCCCCCGCCTCCGGCCCCGCCGTCCTGGCCGCCTTCAGGGCGCTGCTGCCCGCGCAGGAATCCCCGAACTCCAGGAACTCAGCAGAGCCTGGGAAGCGCCGCACGCCGGGCTCCGCCTCCTCCAGCCCAACTCCGTGGACTCCTCTCGGGCCCCTGTCTGCCTGGGGAGCACCCAGTCCCCACAGCCCCCCCACATCATCCTCACCCCCATAGTCGCCGCAGCTCTCCACGCCATAGAGAAGGCCTAGAAGGTAAGTCCTTTCTGACTCGACAGCCTGGTAAGGGTCAGGACGAAATGCCACGGCCGAGAGTGCCAGGAACACTGCCTGAGGACGGGGATGACAGGAAAGGCCGGGCGCGGTGGCTCACACCTGTAATCCCAGCACTTTGGGAGGCCGAGGCGGGTGGATCACGAGGTCAAGAGATCGAGACCATCCTGGTCAACATGGTGAAACCCCGTCTCTACTAAAAACACAAAAAATTAGCTGGGCATGGTGGCGCATGCCTGTAATCCCATCTACTCAGGAGGCTGAGGCAGGAGAATTGCCTGAACCCAGGAGGCGGAGGTTGCGGTGAGCCAAGATCGCACCATTGCACTCCAGCCTGGGTGACAAGAGCAAAACTCCGTCTCAAAAAAGAAAAGAAAAGAAAGGCTCCCATAGGACGTGACACGTGGTCCAGGTCCGAGGGGTAAGTGAGATTTGACTAAGGAAGCCTGTTTGAGCTCAAGGAGCAGACCAGAAGAAAAGAAGGAAAATAAACACAGGGCTGATGCCGGCACAGGGATAAGGGACGAAGAAGCCTGATTCAGTAAATCCACCTTCAACTAACAGGAATTCCAAAAGAAGGTAGAGGGAGGGCAATTAACAATACAAGATTAGAGGAAAGCGTTACCGACCTAAGGAACAGCCCTAAGGAGACATGGCGTCTTCAGATTGAGTGCTCCATGGAACGCAGGATCAAGGAAAAAACGACATGACTCTAGAAATATCTGAACAAAAGTGCAGAGTGACAGGGAGTAAGATTGGTTGACAGATTTCAAAGATGGTAAAAATAAAATGTTCACTGCAAAGGCTGAGAACTGCAGTGCATCAGATCCCCCTCAGTAGCAATGGTTGTTAGATGATTGGGAAGTGATTTCGAACCTTGTTTTCTATGCTAGGCCAAATTATGAATCAAGCACGGGGCAGAAAAAAGATACTGTTAGACCTCCAAGGACTCAAAATACAGAAACCCATCCTCCCATGCATCTTTTCTTGGATAGTTACTTGAGGATGTATTCCAGCAAAGTGAGAAATGAAGCTAAGAAAACCTGGGATTGACTCTTGAGTGGTCCACCAGGGGGTGGTAAAGGGAGGCCGGTGCTGTGCTCTGGCCCAGGGACAAGGAGTTGGGGTGGGATCCATGGGGTAGGAGAGGGCAGGGGAGGTCTTGAGAACAAAAGCCACATTGTTACTCTGTTATTACTATTATTCTGTTAATAAGAAGGAAGAAAGGCAATAAGAGCTATAGCAAAAATGTATATAACAAAATTCATCTTCAACTAGAAAGCAAACTAACATGGAATAGGAGTTTCAGTTTGCCTCAGGGAAGGCAAACTGAGGTCGCCCCATTTGCTCTGGATGCTAAAGCTTTCTTCCTTGTGTGGTCAGAGAGGGTGGTGGTGGTAATGACTTTAGGCTCATAGAGAAAGAACTGTCCCCAAGCCCAGCGTTTAGCTGTGCAGTCAGTTACATGTGACAGTGACATGCCCAGTTGCCCAGGGGTGTAGAGGGTCTCACTGCTGCAGTTCAAATCCACTGGGCTCCACTTTTACTGTAGACAAAGTTGTGGGACCTAGAAAGAGTGGCTAGCAGGAGCTATCCTACCCTCAGCTTCCATGAAGGGGAGGCAAGACACAGACCAGAGGTATGGTAGTTAACATAGGGGAGTAAGTGCGAGTGTAAAGTTGCAGAGAGAACCTGCAGAAGAGTGAAAACATTAAACACAGACAGAGGAGGGAGAAGGCGCAGAGGGGAGAGGGGAATGGAGGTTTACAGTTGATGCTTGAACAACACAGGGGTTGGGGGCACTGATTCGCTCCTCCATGAAGTAAAGTTAAGAATCCTCACATAACTTTGGACTCCTCAAAAATTTAACTACTGATTGCTTGTTGACCAGAAGCCTCTCTGATCACATAAACAGTTCATTAGTACATTTTTTGTATGTGAGATATGTTATATTCTGCATTCTTACAATACAGTGAGCTAGAGAACAAAAGTTATTAAGAAAATAATTGTAAGAAAGAGAAAATAGATTTAGTATTCATTAAGTGGGAGTGGATCAGTATCAAGGCGTTCATTCTCGTTGTCTCCGTGTTGAGTAGGCTGAAGAGGAGGAGGAGGAGAAGATGATCTTGCTGTCTCGGATGTAGCGGAGGCAGGAAAAAATTTCCATGGAAGCGGACCCACTCAGTTCAAACCTGTGTTGTTCAAGGGCCACCTCTATTCATCTTTCATACTAGGAAGCCAGTATATTTTGTTAAATACTCATAAATCACAAAGTAGGAGAACAGGCATTTTATTGCCGCTGAAGGGAATAACAAAAAAAAAAAATTGAAAATAGAAGCGATAAAAGATTTAGTCCCAAGGTGGTAGAAATGGTGTGTGTGGTGGGGGTTGGGTAAAGAGACATTTTATCATTAGGTTTTATGGGTTTTTTTGGTATTTTTTTAACCTTGTTCATATGTATTACTTTGATTAGAATTCCTGAATTTTAAAAACAAAACCAACAATCAAATTACTTCTGAAGTCCTTGAACATCATGACTCAATACTCCATAAAATAAACATATTTTACTGTTTTTTTTTTTTTTTTTTGAGATAGAGTGTCACTCTTGTTGCCCAGGCTGGAGTGCAATGGCATGATCTCTGCTCACCACAGCCTCCACCTCCCAGGTTCAAGCGATTCTCCTGCCTCAGCCTCCTGAGTGAGGGAGTATTACAGTCATGCACCACCATACCCAGCTAATTTTGTATTTTTAGTAGAGACAGGGTTTCTTCATGTTGGTCAGGCTGGTCTCGAACTCCCAACCTCAGGTGACTGCCCGCTTCGGCTTCCCAAGTGCTGGGCTTACAGGCATGAGCCACTGCGCCTGGCCTTACTGTTTCATTTTAAAAATCATTTTCACTGGTACTTTGTTAGTTTCACAACTGTTACCAACTGTATACAGAGCATGCATTCTTTACCCTAGACATGAAAGGGTGGGGGGAATGCACCATTGCACTCCAGTTTCTAATGCTTACCTAAGGTACAGTGCCAGCTGATGAGAATAATAACTGCCCAGCACCATCATGTTGAGGCACTTCCGGGTACCAGGACAGGTGACTTTGACTCCTGCCTGCCTCGTGGCAGCATCCTCACCTATTCTCAGATCAGTGAAACCTGATCTTGTTTTAAAGGCCTCCCAGCAAGGAGCTCAGCCTGTCCCCTCTCCGGCTGAAGCAGTTCTATTTTTATTCCACGCTGTTGGATGGCTCGTGTCCAAGCCAGTGGCTGTCCTCCAGGTGCCAGACTCCCTGGCAGCATCACTACTATGGGACAAAGCTCTGCCTGGTGCAGGCAGCAGCCTGGTCACAGCGTGATCACAGGCTGGTCACAGGCCTGTCACAGACATCTGTGCACATTTCAGTCTGCCCATTGTAGGGATAGCCTGCAGGCCTCCCTGGACCTGGCCAAGCCCGATAACATGCAGGAACCACATGTGTGAACCATGTCACATTGTCAAATTGTCAGACATTTCACACCTAGAGCGAATACAGAGAAAACAAGCCCCAGTTTTCCCACCACTCAGTTCTAGTACAGGCAGACCTCAGAGAAATTATGAGTTTGGTTCGAGACCACTACAATAAAGCAAATATCACAATAAAGTGAGTCACAGAAATTTTTTGGTTTCCCAGTGCATATAAAAGTCGTGTTTAAACTATACTGTAGCCTGTTAAGTGTGTAATCACATTTTGTCTATAAAAACGATGTACATGCCTTAATTTAAAAATACTTTTTTTGCTAACAAATGCGAACAGTCATCGAAGCCTTCAGCAAGTTGTGATCTTTTTCCTGCTGGCAGGTCTTGATTCAATGTTGATGGCTGCAGACTGATCAGGGTGGTGGTTGCTAAGGGTTGGGGTAATTTCTTCGAATAAGACAACGATGAAGTTTGCGACACTAATTGACTAGTCTTTTTTCTTTCTTTCTTAAAGACGGGGTTTTACCATGTTGATCGGGCTGGTTTTGAACTCCCGACCTCAGGTGATCCGCCCGTCTTGGCCTCCAAAGTGCTTGGATTACAGGCGTGAGCCACCACGCCCAGCCCAATCAACTAGACTTTTAGTGACAGATTTCTCTGTAGTGTGCAATGCTGATCGCATTTTACCCCCAGTAAAACTTCCTCTGAAATTGGAGTCAGTCCTCTCAAACCATGGCACTGCTTTATCAACTAAATTTATGGAATATTCTAAATTCTGTGTTGTCATTTCAACAATGTTCACAGCATCTTCAAAAGGAGTAGATTCCATCTCAAGAAACCACTGTTTGCTCATCCATAAGAAGCAACTCCTCATCCATTCCAGTTTCATCAGAAAGGAGTCTTTTTCCCTGAGCAGTGGGTCTCAAAGTGGGCTTAAAAACATTCAGTGAACCATGCTGTAAATAGGTGTGCCATCATCCAGGCTTCGTTCTTCCATTTCCAGAGCACAGACAGAGTAGATTTAACATATTGTAATGGTCCCAGGGTTTTCCAAATGGTAAATGAGTACTGGCTTTAACTTAAAGTTATCAACCGCATTAACCTCTAACAAGAGAGCCAGCCTATCCTTTGAAACCAGGCACTGACTGACTATCTCTAGCTTTGACAGTCGGAGATGGCATCTTCCTCAAGTAGAAGTCAGTTTTATTTACACTGAAAATCCGTTGTGTAGTGCAGCCGCCTTCCTCAGTGATCTTGGCTAGATCTTCTGGATAACTTGCTGTAGCTTCTGCATCAGTACTTGCTGCTTCGCCTTGCACTTTTATGCTGTGGAGATGCCTTCTTACATTAAACCGCATAGACAAAGCCTCTGCTAGCTTCCAACTTTCTTCTGCAGCTTGGTAGCTTCTCTTAGCCTTTGTAGAATTGAAAGAAAGTTAGGACCTTGCTCTGAATTAGGCTTTGACTTAAGGGAATGTTGAGACTGGTATGATCTTCTATCTAAGCCATTGAGATTTTCTCCATATTA